GGGGGGTACCGGGGGGAAGGTGGGGGGTGCAGGAGTTCGTGTGCGAGCACTGCGAGGAGGCGTTCGAGCCGACCGATCTGGACGCGGACGGGAGCGCCGGTAGGGAGCGGCGCTTGCGGTGCCCGGGTCACCCCAACGGGGAGCTGCGCGTCTTCTACTCGCCCGTGAGGGGCGAGTGGGGCGGGTTTTACTCCTGTTGCAGGAAGCACGTCTGGTTCTGCATCCCCCCCGAGGCGTTCGTCTAGACGCTAAGCTGGATCAACAACGGTAGCTTGATGTTTTTGGGTTTTGGTTTACATAGCGATAGGTCGGTGGCTCGGAGTGTTTTTGGCGGGGTGTGCCCCCTTTGGACGAGCAACAACAATAGCGGCAGCAGCCGAGTTTTGGGCGGGGTAAGCCCCTCATCTAGATGTCACACATGAGGTCGCTCTACTGCTGTAGGCAGACCTCACCAACACGTAGTTCCACGGAACTTGGAAGGCCACACACCTCTTGCCAAGTCCTACCGTGGCACTTTCAAGCATTTTCATCCCGATTGGTTGGTTCTGCAAGAAAGAGCCTCTCTGGAACCTCCAAAAGGGATGCAGTTTTCGATCATATCGAGGTTCACGACCGCTTCGACCTTCAAAGAGGCCATGTTTAATACGCCGGTTGTTGGTAGGAACAGATTTGTGTTTCAACTCTTGGAGGGGGGACGGTGAGGGTAGAATATCAAGCAGCACATTTGCGTTAGTTTCGCCAGGTCTTGTCATGTGCTTTTGTTTTGCGGGGTATTCAGGAGTTTACTGTCTATAAGGTTGGAAGATGCGTCGGGCATGCTCACGAGCAGCACCAGCAGTTTGTTCCTGTATCGCCGGCTTTAGATGTTGAACGATCGTTGTTCGAGACACGAGTTTTGTTCAATGGTCCAGACTTTTTCCTTGTTCCCTCGTTACCACTTTGCGAGAGGCAGTAACTAGTTTGCGCTGTTGCTCTTGTGGGCGGTGCTTGTATTTGGTAACGTTGCTCAGCGTTGTATCTTTTTTTGTTGAGCAAGCCGTCCCTTTGATTTGACAAACGCGATCGTTGCGGTGCGGCGAATATTCCCAGAAACATAGGCAACTCTGTCAGAGTCTGATTGGCTCGAAGAGCTACGTTGGGCTTCGCTTTGGGACAGGCGCTTTGAGCAATGATCGGGTCAATTTGTCTCGCCCTTCCGTGCATGTTTCATGTTCACCACGAGGCACGATGGAACGGGGGCTTTTGTAGTCATGGTGTCTTGTACGTAAATGAAGAGTGTAGACATCATCACACATGGTGGGCTCGCTGTTGTTTTTCCACAAAGAGTGGAACAGCTGGGTCACGGACGGGACATGATCCGCCCTAGGCCCGAGTACCGTGCTGCAGATAGATTGCGACGGGGTCTGCCGAAAGAGGGCGGCTTCCTTATTCGAGCTGAATGTTCATGTGTAGCTGAGGGGTGGCAAAAAGAGGAGGGTGGCAAGGAGCGGTACACATAAAAAAAAAGGTTTCAGCGATAATCGGTTCTTTGCCCCTGCTTTCCTGGTTCTGCAGCTTCTAGGACCCCAAAAACCGACCGGAACACGAGGAGGTTATCTCTCGGCGAAAGCTTGCCAAAGCTCGAGACTTCTCCTCCTCGCTCCGCGACCGCTCCTGCTTGAGCATGCAACTGCCCTGTATTGCAGGACAAATATTGGCAGAGTCGTTCGTCTCTGGGATCCATTTCGACTCTGTAGGGGCATTCACTTCGTGCGGAGTCCCCGGATTTTGTCCAGAGTAGGCACTGCTGCTTGGGCTACTTGGTAGGATTCTGGGAGACTTCTACTTGCGCTCAATTTCTCGCCTCGCGCGGCGATGGGGAATCTCCGAAAAGAGGGGTGTTTCCGAAAAGACGGGTAAGATATCCAAGATTATGCACCCCCATCCATGAGCATGATGATTGTGTACAGGCAGCATCCAAGAGGAAGAGGAGTACTGTATATGACACAAGATAACACACCCCCTGGACCGATTTTCAATGCTCGATTACTCCACGACGAAGAGGATGCATAAACGAAATGATACATTTTCGAAAAGCTCTCGACGAGACGGTTTCAACGCCGCCGTTTTTGGCGCTGTGACTGCTGTTCCTGCAGATGAGAAACCGAGCTTCGAACATCGGGCAAGGGGGGGTGTTAGCTTGTGTCATATACGGTAGATTGTAACAACGATGAGCCTTTTGACAGGAACCAACCCGATCAGCTCAATCCAAGCACTCGGACAACAGCTCTTGCATGCACGTGGCCGACGAAGACTATGATTAGTTATGGTTACAAAAAAAAATCATATTCTATGGTGGGCCACGTTAGGCTGGTCAGGGGTTCCCCTGTAGCCCAACGCTAGGCGGCGGTGGTGGTGCCATCGCCAGGTCAAGGTTGTTTCTCCCATCCCGAGTGCCCCCCTCAGGACCACGGTTCGGTCCAGTCTTCCCTTTGTGAGGTCGCGATACAAGGTGTACGTATGTGCGTCTTCACTCGTCGACCGTAGCCAACGACTGGACGTCAGTCTTCCAGCGGGATGTTGTTGAGGACAGGAAACATTTTTGAAGGCGATGACCTGGTGCCCCGTGATGTGGGGTCACGTGCGTGTGCGTGTGTGCTATTGACTAGTGACAGCTTGGTAGAAGCGGCCCAAAATCATCAACGGAACGCTTTCGTGACCAAATAGACCGAAGTTTACTCCTCTGAGTGATGGAACGCTCGGCGAACCTTCACAAAAAAAAATAAAGGTACGTCACATCAACACAACTTGCTCCTACCGAAATTAACAAACCGGTACCAAACTTATACTTCTGGTCAAAAGGGGCAAAACAATATGGTACAATCTGTGGAACTCCATAGAGTAATACTGTAGCTTACGAAAGAGTGTTGAGCACAAAACATACAATACAAGACGCGTAGTTCGACGTACGTGAGGGCGGCAACCCGCACTCTGCTTCTGGTCTTACTTTTTATTCCTCGCCCCTCGACTTGAACCTGCCCCCCCCCCCGCCCCGAACGTCCCTCCGTTCCGCCAAACCTCCCATGACCCCTAGTCCCTCAAAGGGAATAGTCTGCAATAAAGAAGACAGCAGTGCAGCTGATGCTTTGGCGAAAATACGGCGGCCGCGCGAAGAGCACTGAATCGAAGCAGGGCGTGGCTCCGTCTCATCATGACAAGGTCTAGCGAAAGGCGCTCCTCCTGATCTGAGCGCTTACACAGGGGGCAGATCAACTGCCCTGTTGTACATCCAGCAAGCAATTTGGACCTCGAAACAGGTCATCCACTACCAACAACAGCAAGATCAAGTCAATGATCGGCAAACAGGCTGCCAATGGAGCGGACGTTTGACCGTTCAAGTCGCTACCTTCACACCGTCATTGCAGCCACATCCCTCCAGTGCCGGTCGAGGGCGGCGACGACCGTCTTGAACTCGCTCTTGTGCTTGAGCACCTCGTGCAAGACGCCGTCGTATACCTTTCCCAAAAGCAGCAGGGCGTGTCGCCCGTGCGACGCGTGCGTCCCAAAAAAAAAAAAAACGATCCAAAGACACGGGAGGGAGAAAAGGACGGGTACAAAAGGCAGGATCGCATGGCATGGTCACGAATCGAGACAAAAAGAGTGTCCAAGAGGATGTGGGAGGGAGGACGAACAAGCTGTACCAACTGTATGTTGTGTGCCACCGTCGACCAACGCGACGAGACTGCCGGAGAAAGAGTGCCAATGCTGCTACGACAAACTGTGGAAACGCCGCACGAGGCGCACTTTATGTTGCTGCAACGACATCATATCGTCAGTTCCCTCTCCTTCTGTATATATACAAGGCTTGTTGGCGGCTTACGCCGCCACGCTGAGAGAAGCGTACCGCAAGACGAATGTTGCTTGGTGTTTGATGCACGATGGTAGTCAGCGTTTGTTAAATGGGGCCTTCGTTTGTGGCATGCCGTGGCTGTGAGATTCCCGTGAAGTACGTTCCCATGATTATTAGGACCGTTTGGGTGCACGCGAGAGACGGAGATAAACGAAGCCACCCCTGAAAAGATCCTGGAGAGAGATGAACTTTTTGTAGATATAGTAGCGGCTACGGTTTAAGAGAGGGTCGGTACAAGCCAATTTCACTCTCTTAAATCCGGCTTTCTGTTATATCGTGTTGGCTACGGTATAAGAGAGAATTCTCTTAAACAGTATCTCACTATAAGAGAATATTCTCTTATATCGTAGACAAAACTAAAGGTCGTGAAACAGGGACTCTCGCGCACTGACTACAATCGAATGCCAAAATAGGTCATGAAGAGAGCGTACCATGCATGTCACTTGCGCAGCTAGCGTTACCACGTCGGGCTACCTCCAAACACCGCTCATTCTCTTGGTTGGCAAGCACGTGGACCCAAGTACTGCTGTACGTGGTACGCTTTTGGTGGATCTGCGTTCGGAAAATAAATCATCGTTGTGTGATGCGATGCACATTTTGCACGTGGACACGTAAAAGGTTTTTGGTTGAGTTGTTTTATAGCTGTGTTTCATAGTCGCACCTCTTCTAGAAGGACAACACGAGGCAACGAATGCACCAGCACTCAAGAACGACGCACCCGTTTACACAATGCAACCCTTCCTCCCACCGTACCCTCAACATAACACCCTCATACCTCTCATCCCATCGATTTAAACCCCCGACAAAAACACAAGTCAACGAAAAAAAAAGACCTTCACAATATCAAAACATCACTCGCCGTAAAATAACACAAACCCAAGAAACCAACGGGAGGACACGCAGTTGTGGCAGATGCGATGCATCTCGGAGGTGCCCTGAGGGTCCACCACACCACAGGTGCCATGGAGGTACTGCCCGCAGAATCCTCTACATTGGTGATTTGTGAACGCCGGCGGGCCTGGCGTGTGATCGGGGACAGCCGTGCAGCGACTGCCCGCCGCGCAGGGCATGGTGTCTGCAGCTGTGTGGGTGTGTGATGTGTGTGTGTGTCCACGTGGTTTCCATATTGTTCGATTTAAGAGAAAAATCCCAGCTGCAATAGGAAATTTCTCTTAAATCGATTTTGATTGGTACAAGCCAATTCCTCTCTCTTAAATCCGTACTTTCTGTTACATAAGTTCTCTTAAACCGTAGCCGCTACTGTATGCATGTTCGGCGCGTACATGCGAGATCACAGAGAGACGAACGCGTGTATTTTGAAACATTTGAAAGTCCGACGTGTCAGAGAGCAGACTACTGGCTGCCCGAAAGAGAGAGAGACTAGCCTAAAGCCCTGTGAGAGGCGCAGTCAAAAAATGGATACGGGAAATGAATCTGGATGTGAGAGGGAGAGACAGACTGCTGTGGTTGTGTCGGAGGGTAGAGAGACCGGCGGCACGAAATAATGTGACGTGTGTAAAAGGGAGAAAGGTTCCGTGCGACCGAGCCGGGTGTGATGGAACGAGCCAGACGCAATTATGAGACATGAGAGACAAACGGTGAACGAAAGAAACAACAGCGAGCTCCAAAGATCCGGAACAGATGGAAACGAGGAAATGGAGCGCTGTGAGAGGGTCCGAGAATACCCCAAATGGAGCCCTCTCAACGGATCTCCAGACAGACAGAGAGGGAAGCGACGGAGGGTCAGAGCCGCAAAAAATATTTGTGCAGCGACGGAGAGAGCGACAGACGTCGTGTGATTGGGAAGCCAGAAGGACCGGCGGACCATCTAGCCAGTCTATCTCAAAGAGATCGGAATTGTAAGCACTGCGTTTTTTGTTTGCTTGGAAGAACCTGGAGATCATGTTGGATGAACCCAACGGGAAAAGAGTTGCACACAACGACAGAGGTTACAGGCAGCCACGCATGTATTGGAACACGCAAGCAATTATTGAGAAAGCACGATGATGTTCTTCATTGTTCTGTTGGAAAGAACAACAGCGTGTCATCGTGTATGCACCCCAACGGAACACGAAGGAAGGGCGTCTCCGCGGGGTGGCACGAAGGAAGGAGAGAGGAGAGCACCGAAAAGCTGTGGCAACAGGAGGAGCGAATGGGAAAGATCCCCGGAAAAAATGGAGGGATTGTAAAGAGCGATAGACAGAGAGAGAAGGGGAGAGAGAAAGAGCAAGAAGGAGAGCGAGAGAGACAGAGAGATAGGGGGGGGGGTACTCTTATGTTTTGCATGCCTTAGCGGTTACACCATTGACCACGCGTCCTCGAGAGGACGGAGCATTGTTCCCACAGGACCGATCACCGATGGCCAATCGTTCGTGGGGTGGGGGGGGAGAAAGCAAAAAGAAGAACTAGAGAGACCAGAGAGAGACAAAAGCGAGAACTACTACTTACTACTGTGACGCTCTAGAGGGCACAGCGTGTTCTATTGTACAGCTGAGAGAGAATAACCACCAGAAAGAAATCTGGAACGGAAAAAAATTGTGGCCTCTACTCAGAAGAATCGGATTTCTGTGTGGGGATGTGTAAGCTGAGGAGACGGAGGGACAGAGAGCGAGAGAGGGAAGGGAGACAGAGAGAGGGAAAGAGACAGACAGACAAACAGATAACAAGCAGATAGCAAGGGAGACAGACAATCTACAGAGCGAGAGAGACTTCGTGTGTACTACGCGGCTACGCGTCTGTGTGCTGTGTGTAGCGAGCGTGCGATCGACAAAAAGTCGAAACGGAATAACATCCCGAAAGAGCCCAATCGAAATCCAAGTTAGATTTTGATTGGAGAAATGGGGAGCTGCCAAGCGGCCGAAAATTCGGAATCGGCCCGCTGGAAATGTGGCGCGCGAAGAATGGAGAGCTTCTTCTGGCCGAAACACAAAAGTTATATCGCTTGGTTGGCAGCAGGAGAAGCGTAAATGGGGGTGCTGTCGGCGGAGTCAGAGGAGGGGGGGTGCGAGCGCAAGTTGCTGAGGTCGGGAAAACGGAGAATCGGAGAGTGCCGGCGGAGAATCTTGCAGAAATCCCTGACAGGCCCGTACAGCAGTACATACTTGATGATGCAGGGTGTGCGAAAAGAGAGACAACAGAGATCTAGTGAGATCGCAAAGACAGGAGGAGTGCGTCAGATCCAGACAGAGAGATAGACCTGATGTGATCGCAAAAGAGTGCGTGAGATCCAGACAGAGAGCCAACGAAGAGCGATGGGCCTCGTGTAATGGGAAGAGCCGCAAAGGAGTGCCTGAGTTTCAGACAGAGAGAGATCGAAGGGGCAGACCGGCAGCCCATGTGTGATCGCATCGAAAGGGGAAAAGAGACCGGTGTTCGGAATAAATAATCTGGTGCAATTTTTGCGAGCTGGCAGATCTGAGAGACGAATAGAAGAGAGAGAGAAAGAGAGAGAGAGAGAGAGAGAGAGAGAGAGAGAGAGAGAGAGAGACAGACAGAGAGAGAGACAGAGACAGAGACAGAGACAGAGACAGAGACAGAGACAGAGACAGAGTCAGAGTCAGAGAGATAGAGAGCGAGAGAGAGCGAGAGGCAGACAGAGGAAACAGTACCAGGGCGAGAGGTAATCAAAAGCCGAGAAGGTGTGTGGGAGAGAAGGTGTGTGCGTGGAACGAAAATCGAAGCGAGAAAAGGGTCAAAACGATGATTGTGAAAGGGCATGAACATTCGGAAAATGCTGATTGGTGAGAGAAAATGCTGCTCTGTGAGAGCCCGATAAATCGGAATGCTGAGCTCTCAGGCGTCCACGCGGAAAATGAATGGACCGCTTCTAGAGAAAACGAAACTGATAAAACTGTTATACATCTCTCTCTCTCTCTCTCTCTCTCTCTCTCACTCTCTCTCTCTCCATGCGTGGCGTGTGGCCCCGCATTATACAGCGGGGGTGCACTGCTCCAACCACACTACCGACAAAATCGTGTCCCGCCCGGAAACTCCCCACCGTCAAAAGCCTCGTGCCTCATATGCATGGCCACCACCAAACGCACCACTAGCACTACTAGTGTACGTACCTCGAGGGCGACAGAGCTGCTGGCCGTTAGCAAAGACTTCATCTCCTCGGCCCCCGAAGGGTACGCCATGTCGTCGTCGCCCCCATGAATCAGGAGGACCGGTACCGAAACCTGGTTTGTGTGTGTGTGTTTTTTTTGGGGGGGGGTTCGAACGCAGGTGGTTCATGACACACACATACGGAGTATCTGCTTTTAATCCGGAGAGTAGCTTAGCCTTTTCCATGACGCCCCCTCACGGGGCCCCAGATCATGGTAGCTTTTATAACCAATTTCTGGTTTCATCCGCACTGAGACTGACGTCATTTCATTGGCCAGCCGGCTAGCAGCGCGGTCGATTCTATTTCAACGCACACACTCACATACGAGTTCCGCACCGCGTGCTTCATGGTTTTTCGCCACCCGTCACGCGGAGACGTAGCACGTAGGACGTACGTACCACGCAGGTGCCACAATTCGCCTTGCAGGCAAGCACACGTACAGAGTTGAGACGCACAACAATGCCCTCAAGAGGGCGGAATGCCCGAGAAGAGGCGTGTGCGTGCGTACCGCAGACAAGACAAATCATCTAAGGGGTGTCGTGTCCTAAAGCAGGAAGCGTAGAAATGTTGGATATCCCAGCCTCTACACCCCACCGGGGGGGGAGGGGCTCCGGTGCTTGAGCCGGGAGGAGGGCAATGGCGCCACAGAACAAATGCGACCAATAGGTATTGTTGGTAGAAAGTCAGGGAGTTAGTTCCCGACAATGTCAACATTGTTTTATCGTGCAGAAAAAGATGAGTTTGTGTCTCCGCGGAAAAAGTACGCACGCGTGAACGTACGGTCCGCGCCCGTCCGTGATCTCGATCGATCGGCATCACGCTTTAAGACACACACCGTTTATGGTACTTGGGTACCATACCCGATCTGGGCAGGATGCGAGTGAGGGGGTATCTAAGCGGTTGGGGGGTCCGACCGCGGGGCCCCAGAAACAGCGTACGCAGTATGCTTCCTGGCACTAGGTTAGCGTGTGAATGATGTTTGTCAGTGTGTCCTTGCGCACACGCTCTGCTCATGCATGGAATATGTTTGCTTGCCGTTCCTGGGATAACTTGGAGCCCGCACGCACCACGAAACAAGCATGGACGGGATGGATGCAATCGTATCGTTAGAGTCATGCTCACAACGACACGTTTGAGACACGGACCGATTCCTAAGGCATGATAGAAGAGCAAATAGTGGGTGTGTTTGCTGAGAGAATTGCAAATAAATTACCATGTTTTCTGTCGGCGAAAAGGCACAACCTCAACCGAAAGGTCCGACCCGCCTCCCACGCTGGAAAAATAGGGGTACGTTGTGTGTAATGAAATGCTGTCCGTTGGCGAAACAATGACAACTGCACATCATTCTTCGTGCGTACAGTAGACACGAACTTTGCGGTTTTCCATTTCGCCAAACAAGCACGGCTGGAATGAGAATGTAGTTCAATCTATCTGTAGATCACGCTTCTTGCGTGCTGACGAACCTTGCAGGCGCTCTGCTTGGCGACTTGCACGAGCTTAAGGACCTCGAAGGCCGTCTTGTTTCTAACGCTTCCCTTCACCATGAGCGGGTCCACGGCAGCCTCTAGCTTAACCTCAGGGTCGCTTGACAACGATCCTGCAAGCACCGACAAACAAAACAAAAAGGAATGGTTTTAAGGGATATCGGGATAGTTTGATAGCGCGATCGTGCTGCACACAAAAAAAAAACGTCATGGTTACCCGCGTTTCGGGATATTTTGATAGCGACCCCGCTGCACCAAAAGATTTGTTGAGTGACGGGTATCGGGATGAATTGACAACGACCTTGTAGCAACGGACAAACAATACACAAAGGCACGGCATCGGGGACGGTATCGGGGTCGTTATATATCGAGATCCTATATCTTGCACCAAACATACATAACCGGGAAGGCTTGTCCGGTATCGGTGTATCGCTTGATAGCGGCCCCGCATCATCATCATCATCATCATCATCATCGTCATCATCATCATTATCATCATCATTGCACACTTCCTCCCTGGAGATCCCTGAACGCATGTGTAGGTTAGGCACGCTCTGCAAGTAGTACACGGTCATCTTACATGGGGGTTTTGAACCTCAAAAATGGCGCGATCGTTGTGGGTTTGAGAACCAATGATTGAGTTCCAGTTCCAAGTGGGGAATGGATAAATAATAGTTATGTAAAGCTAAAATAATCGCTACAGCAGCCGCGGCATCAGCAGCAACAGCCAACAACCTCGTGCGATCTAATCGCTGATCGCACGGACTTGCATAGCGCTGCCTTCGATAGACCCACAACAAAAACTTCCACCGCGAAAGACCCCCCGCGGATGAACTATTTCCCCTTCTCACCATGTACTACCCTATGTAAACAAGTGCCATTCGCGTCGAGAATTGGCACGTACCTTGATCGAGCGGCGCCGCGGGCCCTCCGGGGTCCATCCTGGCCAACAATCCGGACAACCTTCGGACCAGCCCAGATGCTCTTACAAAGGAAGGAGAAAACAAACACAAGGACAAAATGGCTCATCCCACAAAAAACTCGCTTGGGGGTTAATCGGAGAATCCCGGACTTAATCGGAGAACGTGGGGTTCAATCGGAGAACTCGGGGAAACAACAACAACAACAACAACAACAACGACAACAACAACAACAACATGCATCTTGCGCTTCGTGTGAAACAAACATACAGAGAGAGGGAGAGGGAGAGAGAGAGAGAGAGAGAGAGAGAGAGAGGGAGAGAGGGAGGGAAGGAGGGAGGGAAGGCTCACCGGTTGATCGGGTAGAGGCAGCGAAGGCCGAATGGGCTTGCGGACCCAGGTCCTGGTACGATAGGACAACCTGCCCAAAACACAACCCACCGCAAGACAGGACAAGGCAAGACAAGCGGGTCAAGTTAGAGAGACGAGTCCGAAGCTGAGTGAGCCGAAACAGGTGTGCCGTGTACACGTGCACGGTGTCAGCCACGAGGAACTGCTGTCGTGTCGCGAACAGGGCAAGTCGCCCCCGTTCTCCCGCCGGAGTACCAACACACCTTTTCCCCTCTTCTACTTTACCCTTGCATCCCCGTCGCGGACAGCCAAAGTTCCATCGCGAATCCTACCACTACCACCACCACCGTCAACAACAGCAACAACCCCAACAACAACAACAACAAACCAGAGAGCGCCAGCTTCTTGACGCGGGGACCAACGACAGCGTGCTCCGTTAACTTTGTCGCCGAAACCGTAGCCACGAGCGACCCCATGGAGTGCCCAAGTATCATCACGGGCAGGGTTTTGTCCTCTTCCTGTCCAACCTGTAAAACACCACGTATAGTACACGCAGACAACAAGAACAAATGAAGTGCAACTGCCGTCGTCGGAGTTGCTCGCTGCCGCTGCTGCCGGTAGTTTCTGCTTTCGTCACAGAAAAGGCTAACCACCAACTTGAAAATACATGACCCCGTCGGCAACCTTGCCGACAATTGCTGCATGCGTGCAGCCTCCGCGAACAAAAACGAAGAAAAGCGAAACAAAAAACTCAGCTATCCGCCAAAAAACCCAAGCCAGACAAGTACAAGAGGAGAGAAACATGCAGATCAACAACTTCACTAACCATTTTCACTACGAACTCCGTGAAGTCGTCGGTCATCCGCGAGTGGTCTTCAACCATTCCGGAGTTGGTACCGCCCCCTTCGACGGCCTGCACAGTCCTGCAGGAATAGTTGATACCATGTGTGGCATTCTTGACCAGGGAATATAAAGGTGAGGTCTTCCTCGGTCCTTGCCATCGACACTACACCAATCCACACGAAGCGATGTGTTCGCTGTGTGTGGCGCGCCGCCTGTTGTTTACAAGCGCGGCGCAAATATCCAAGTCCCTTGCGGCATTTTACGTCGTGCCTGCCGGATGTGAAACTCTTGGTTATGCGCAAATCAACCCAACAGCATACTGCCACAGCAAATGCAAGGATGATGACCGGCTTCTAATTCATGCTTGTGAAGCGTAGCCTGGGCCGGCGAAAACCCGGCTTAACGCTCCGTCCCGGCATTACAGGGAGGCGAGGTCAATGATCTAGCGACTACTTACGGCATGCGTTCGCACGAGCACACCCCCTCCAACAGGTTTGCCGCTGAGCACAGCGGCGTTTATTCCAGCTTAGAAAAGGCGTCAGAAGCCTTAACCCGAGTGCACACAAACAACAAGAATTGCAGAGAACCAGCAGCGGCAAAGACACCAACTAACCACGCCCCTCGTGGGAAACCCTTCAAACAACATAGTGTGGTGTAACCCTTGGTTCTGATCGTCTAAAACTAGGCAAGAGTTCTTGCTAATCCGAAGAAGCTCTGGCTAATCCGAAGAAACCTCTTGCTATTCCTAAGTAATATCTTGCTAACCCTAAGAAATCTCTTGCTGATCCGAAGAAACCTTGCGGTTTGGGAAGCAGGGGGGGTAACGTTTAAGCGTACACCACGGCGCTCCGAATGCCGGTGCGTGACAATCTACTCGAAACAAACACGTAAAAAAACAGCGGCGGCGGCGGCGGCGGCGGCGTCTCCGCGGATTCTTGCCGCATGTTTTTGGCGGGCCTATGTTTGAATACTCACAATCCATGGCCGATGTGGTCATTTGCGAAGACGACGTAGCCTTTCTCCGTGTAGTAGTGCGCCAGCTTCGACCACCGTCCGCTGTGACTGTGCAGCCCGTGGGCAATGAACACTTTGAAAAAACAGCAGTTGTACATGGGGGTAGCAACAACGCGGAAGAGGTCGGTCTTGAAGTCAGAACATATACGCACAGCAGCATGAGCGGATCTATCTAGCGCCTCCACTAGGCTCAGAGGCTGGCGCTTGGAGGCCTTACCGGAATCAAGGCGATGTCACCTCCTACTGTACCAGGCCAAACAAAAACCAACAGAGTTAAACGAACAAAATGTCATCACAAGGGTCTCGGTTGTTGGTTGCTTCGCTTCCGGGCATGAAAGCAGCCGGAGCTCTGGCGGGTGTTGCTGTTGATATTTTTTTCCATTTTTCCCCATCCCACCTACCCTATGGGCGTGCTTCCCTCTCTCCTGCCTGCTGAATATCCGAGGCCATGCAGACAATAATATTCCCTCTGCGGCGCATGCCTGAGAACGCTTTCAATGGGAGATCAATCAGCTCAACCGCCTTTGCCTCCAAAGCGAGTAAAAAAACAAGCGCTTCGCTGTTTAGGTACGAAACTCGGACTGTCATAGACATGCTTCCTTGGGGATCGAACTCGAGGCACTACAGCTGCTACACACTGCTGTCTGTGGTGAAGAAGGGGGGTCTTCTTCTCACGCGGAAACTGTAAGGGCACAACTTTCCACCGACTGGCGCTACCCGCACAACCAAGTTCCCGAGCGCTCACGCATAGCGATGGCCTTGGACTGAGGAGCCCACCTCCTGTACCAGACGCTCCCCCCTCGCCTACCGAGCAGGAACAACGGGCCGGAAAAACAAGCAGACAGCGGGCGGGGGGGGGGCTTGCATGGGGAAGAGGGAAGGCGAAGGGGGGTGCTTTCTGTCCTCTCCTCTCAGGGGTGCATTGAGTAGGCAGATAGGGTCGCTCGGTGTTACCAGTTTTCGCGTACACCAGCCTGTCTTTCCCACTGTGTGTGTATGTGTGTCTTTCTTGTTAACATCGACTGCGCTAACCGGCTGACCAACGAAAAGACGTGAGTCTCAGTGCGGTTGAAAACATGAAACGCTTCCAAAGGCCACGATCTGGGACCCTGTGGCAAGGGGTCATGGGGGAGTCTACGCTACTCTCCGGATTAAAGACAGATACCGCTGTATAGCCGAAGAACACCGAACGTGTGTATCATGGGCTGCTACTGCTACTTTGGACGCGCATTCGTTTCGGATTGCTTTCACCGTCTTCCCTGCATTTACTACCGCCACTCTCGTCGCCAGTATCCCCCCTTCTTATCGACAGGTCCATGTATAGTCCTGCGGCGTTTGTCGTGAGGAAGGTCATCTGGCTCAAACTCTTGCTTTATTCCACGCCATGTTTTCCTCTTCCATCATCGCCTTCGTCCTCCTTTCTTCCCTTTCCCTCTCCCTTTCCTTCATCTCCTCCGTCACTCCCAAAAGAACAACCCTCACTGCCATCGCCATCCCTTTCACCAGAACTACAACTGAAATCCCAACCTATTGGCGGTGGTGGGAATTGGTCGATCAGTAGTCCATTACGTTTGAAAACACCACGAGTTCGCACGGACAGAAAACGAGTCAGCTCGAAGGTTCACCGTCTCCGAGTTATGCTGGAAGAGTAAGCCTTATCGTCGAAATCCCCCCTGCAAAATGCTTCGTAGGTTTGTGTATCGGTCGCCGTCGCTGTGTCTTGTCTCTGCCCGTCTAGCTGTTTGTCTGCATGTCTCATTTGGCTATCTATTGCGCTCTTGCTAACAATTACCTTTCCGTCTTGTACCATCGGTCGCCGTGTTTGGCCTCATGGTCGGGGGCAAGCGTTCAAACTATCGCCAGAAGGGTTTTGCAGCAAGCTTGTTTTGATGAATCATCAACAATTCAGTCGAATCTTGCATTCAAGACCATCCACTTCTGGACGGTAGTACATGTGTCCCGCTGGAATTCAAACCCACCATATTTGACAATCCCAAGGTTTTGGAGGATGCCACCCGCGGAGACGCCACTGTTTAGTTGGTGTGCGTACTCGCCAAGTCGCCAATAGTCCCTCTCTGACCCATGACGATATATCAAGCACCATTCATTTCATACGTTGCATTTGTTTCTCTCAAATGCCTGCGGTGACTACAGCAGCACGTACGCATACGCTTATCAATCACCACGAAGGACACGATCGTTGAAACCGCTTGCCGCGAGTGCATGGTTTCTTGAGAACGGGAGCACAGACAATACCTGTGCTGGGTCAGCATGCACCTGCAAGCCGGACGATAAAGTGCGGCGGCCCCTTTACACTGCTGTCGTGCCGGCAGACACTACTACCCACTTCCCTATGCATTGGACACACGACACTGCCGTACCCAACAATCGATGCAACAGCAACCGTTGCAGCGGACCTTCAATATCAAAGCGGGCCCGCCTGTTATACCGCAAATCGAGAGCTTTACAAAGCAGAAAACACAACCAGCTGCTCCTGCACGCTTATCTCGACTTGGAGGACTGCTCGTGAAGGAAGAAGACTACGTAAGCAGTCGAACGATGCTCCCGGGTGTCTACAGCTGCTTTGTACCATGTCTGGATACAGCAGATACAGCAGTTAGGTGGAGATGAGATGCTTCCAGACTGCAGAGCGCGGTGAACACCTGCTTTGGAACGAAGCTTTCGTTCGCGCTTCCCAGTCGGGCCCACCGTCATGGAGCGCTTCCACAGATCCAGCAGTTGGAGCAGGGGATGACGGTGCTGCAGCCGCCATCTTTGTCCCCCAGCTACCGAATATCATGATGGCGCTCTCTCTCCAGCAGGCATCGCCCAGCACAAGACACCCGGGTTGCACGCGGTGGAAAAAGCAAAAAAAAAGGCCCCACGGGGCTCCGTACATGGTAGCTCAGCAGACACGGTACCCGGGAAGGGGCCAGCACAAAAAAACTCGCCGCGCCATGCGCGCATGCCACGAGAGCATTACCTTTGGGGCCAGAGTTCTCAGCACACACAGCCCGGACCGCGACAAAGCCTACGGAGTACAGGAAGGAGATCACGTTGAACCTCGGTGAGTGGTTGGTATGTCCTCGTTATTCTCTTGGAGCGCGTAAGGTGGAGTGCTTTCGTCAAGAGTTTTTTCCGGCACCCTCCGTAAATGACAGCAGCGCCGTCGCACGAGAAGGTCATCTTCAGACGCTAGGTCGGCCCCGAGGAACGAACGAAATCGACTGGCGATTTCGTTCCCCAGTAGGAATGTGACAAAAGAAGCCTCCAGGGGTTGCCCTAATTTTGGATCGCCACTACCTGTGCCGTAGTCGCGACGAATTGAACACCATGTTCGTGCGGTGTATCTTGCGGATTCTCCACCCCCTGCGTCGGGTCTCGTGTGTTTGTAGTGAGGGGTAAGGCGGTTGTCACGATGACACCAGCGGAGCTCACTCGCACTATGTAAAACTGAGCCTTGGGCCATGTCTAGCAATAGTTCACCACTATCAGCATCGCATAAACCATGGGCCGTCCCTGCTGTATTTCCATTTGGCAGGAATGTTCTCGCCGAGAGCGGCGGCGACCTGCAGTGCCTGCCGTCGCCAAGACGATGGTGCAGGTCTCCGCCAGCCTAGGCTGAGGGTTCGGGATAGAATTCAAGAGTTCAGCATGGAAGTCAGTGTCTCCCAGCGTTTCCCGCAACTAGAGTTTTCGGTCGAACATACGTTTCATCTTTGCAAGCGTGGGGGGTGCCTGCTTGACCTGTTCACGAAGCAAGAAGACAAGGAGAGGGGTGCCATCAAGCGCCTGCAGCCCCGGAAACGCAAACAGAGGAAGGATGGCCGTGTTCCTGAACCGACCATGCACTTCAAACGCCGACCCCTCGACCGCTATTGCACGTCGCCCGAGGCGGTGAAGGCTTTGCTCGCGGAGGTGATCATTGAAGGGCTTGTACTCGATATGTGCGGTGGGTCTGGGGACGCCGTGGCAACCACCCTCGCGC